AAAAATCGCAGGCGGGAGCCCCCTCCCTGTGAAGCCCGCACTTCATATGTCTAATCCGAGCGGGTCATCCTCGAACATGTAACTGCCGCCACTCTTGGGCTCCTGACGCCTGAACATGGGGGAAGTATCAGGCGGGAGGCGCGTCTGTGAGTGATTTGCAAGAAAATCTCAGGCGGGAGCCCTCTCCCCTATGGGGCCCGCAGTTCATACTTCTAACCCGAGCGGGTCCTCCTCGAACCTGTAACTGTCGCCACTCTTGGGCCCCTGACGCCTGAATATGGGGGAAGTATCAGGCGGGAGGCTCGTCAGTGAGTGAATTGCGAAAAAAAATTCAAGCGGGAGCCCTCACCCTATGGGGCCCGCACTTCATGTGTCTAATCCGAGCGGGTCATCCTCGAACCTGTAACTGCCGTCACTTTGGGGCTCCTGAGGCCTCGATATGGGGGAAGTATCAGGCGGGAGGCGCGTCTGTGAGTGAACTGTGGGGAAGGTTCAGGCGGGAGTCCTCTCCCTATGGTGCCCGCACCTTATGTTTATAATCCGAGCGGGTCATCCTCGAACCTGAAACTGTCGTTACATGTGGGCTCCTGAGACCTGAAAACGCTGGGAGTATCAAGCGGGAGGCTTGTCTGTGAATTGCGAGGAAGTCTCAGGCGGGAGCCATCTCCCTATGGGGCCCGCAGCTAATGTTTGTATTCCGAGCGGGTCATCCTCGAACCTGTAACTGTCGTCACTTTTGGGCTCCTGGCGCCTGAATGTGGGAGAGGTATCAGGCGGGAGGCTCGTCTGTGAGTGAATTGCGAAGAAGTCTCGGGTGGGAGCCCCCTCCCTACAGGGCCCGCACGTAGCGTTTCTAATCCGAGCGGGTCATCCTCGAACCTGTAACTGCCGTCACTTTGGGCGCCCGAAGCCTGCATACGCGGGAAATATCAGGCGGGAGGCTCGCCTGTGTGTGAATTGCGAGGAAGTCTCAGGCGGGAGCCCTCTCCCTATGGGGCCCGCACTTTATGTTTCGAATCCGAGCGGGCCATCCTCGAACCTGTAACCGAAGTCACTTTGGGACTCCTGAGGCCTGAATACGGGGGAAGTATTAAGCGGCAGGCTCGTCTTTGAGTGAACTGCGAGGAACTCAGGCGGGAGCCCCTCCCTATGGTGCCCGCACCTCATGTTTATAATCCGAGGGGGTCATCCTCGAACCTGTATCTGTCATCATTTTTGAGCTCATGAGGCCTGAATATGGGGGACGTGTCAGGCGGGAGGCTTGTTTGTGAGTGAATTGCGAGAAAGTCTCAGGCGGGAGCCCCCTCTCTATGGGGCCCGCACTTCATGTTTATCTTTATCCGAGCGGGTCATCCTCGAACCTGTAACTGTCGTTACATGTGGGCTCCTGAGGCTTGGATATGGGGAGGCTCGCCTGTGAGTGAATTGCAAAAAAATCTCAGGCGGGAACCCTCTCACCTATGGGGCCCGCACTTCATGTGTTTAATCCGAGCGGGTCATCCTCGAACCTGTAACTGTCGTCACTTTTGGGTTCCTGAGGCCTGAATATGGGGGAAGTACCAGGCGGGAGGCTCGTCTACGAATGAATTGAAGAGAAATCACAGGCGGGAGCCCTCTCCCTATGCGGCCCGCACTTCATGTTTTTAATCTGAGCGGGTCATCCTCGAACCTGTAACTGCCGTCACTTTGGGGCTCCTGAGGCCTCGATATGGGGGAAGTATCAGGCGGGAGCCTCGTCTGTGAGTGAACTGTGAGGAAGGCTCAGGCGGGAGCCCCCTCCCTATGGGGCCCGCACTTCATGTTTTTTCCGAGCGGGTCATCCTCGAACCTGTAACTGTCGTCACCTTTTGGGCTCCTGAGGCCTGAATATGATGGAAATATCAAGCGGGAGGCTCGTCTGTGAGTGAATTGCGAGGAAGTCTCAGGCGGGAGCCCATTCCCTATGGGGCCCGCACGACAGTGAAGGTTATTTCCAGATTGGCGATAAGATCATCGAAAAATTGGGTCGAATCGACATGTGCCACGGATCGGGCCGCATCCGCACGGGGCTGGAATCGAATCGGACCGGCCACGCCGGGATGCACAACCAGCGCCGTGCAATCATCGGCGCCGCACCGGATCGTCCCGCACTATATATATATATATATATATATATATATATGAGAGAGAGAGAGAGAGAGAGAGAGAGAAAAAAAAAAAAAAAAAAAAAAGTGGATCGAAACGGACCTCCTGCACTGCTGGCCGCCACCTCCTGCGCACCTGCGCCCTCCAAGGGCCCAGGTGCGCGGCGGGCCCCCCACCCGTCGGGCGACCCCCGTCGGCCGCCCGGCCGGCCGGCGGCCCCCAGGAGGCAGCGGGAGGGGCGCCGGGGAGAATCCGCGAGGCAGGCCGCGGGGAAAACGGGAGGGCACGCCGATGCGGTCGCGTCACTCGGAGGGGGGGGGCATCGGGCCTGCTCGCGCGTGCTGCCGAGGGGGGCAAGGGCGGTGGAAGCAGAGCCTCGCGGAGGTCCGCGCGGACTCTGGATGGGCGCTGGGCCCCCGTCTGGCAGCGCCTCCAACGCCGCCTCTGGTGCGATCCGCGCGGAAGGGAGGGGGGGCGTCAAGCGAACGTCCACGGAATCCGCGCGGATTTTCAAATGCTCACGCGCATGACGTTGTTCCTGCTTCGAGGAGAGGTAGGAGGCCGTCACTTCGGGGGGGCACGGAGGGGAAGGAGCCAGGGAGGCTGATCCACCCAATCTGGCGGGGAGTAACGATGATGTTGATGATGATGATGATGATGATGTTTGTGTATCTTCGATGAGTCCTAGAAGCGGTGCGATAGCGGTGAAAAGAGGAAAAGTGAAATGACGGGGATTCCCCTTGCATGGGTGGCGATGACTTGGGCCCTGCACGCAAGGCACCTGCCACCCCCAGGAGGTTGGTGCCCCAGGGTGGTTGTGGGTGGGCTATTCAGAGACGACCAGGCGCGTGAGCCCACATGGCCACAGACGTCGGACAGAGAAGAGGGTACAGCGGAGGCCAGCCCACAAAAAACCTTCCACCAGACACCCAACACTGAGACCCAAGACGTCCACTCAATTTTGGTGTGGGAACGTCACGCTTCCCATAGCAAAACCTAACGAGATGAATTTATTGACGCAACGTGCCATTGATACGTTCCAGGGTTTCCGGGATTTCTAACAGCCTTCGCGCGGGGTACACTTTGCGTCGAGTATTGTCTACTCTGCCTGGCGCCGCTGGTCGGTCACCCATTCGCAATCGAGTGGTCGCCCGCACGGGGCTATTCGTCACTTGCTGATCCCCCCTTTCGTTGCCGAGCGCAGGGGGGACGGTGGCGCGCCGCCCCGTCGCCCGCGGCCGCGCACCGCGCAGCTCATTCCCAAAGACCTGGCGAGGCGAATCACGCGCGACTCTGGGAAATTCTCCGGGGGTAAATTTGAAATATCCGGGAATGTCTTTGAACATGTCCGGCCTACTTTCTGGAAAATCCTAGAACCAATTTCGAAAACTTTGGAAATTTCGGATTTCAGAATTCTTCAGATGTCCTGAGCGGCGGGCGCATTCCACCCCTCAGAACTGGTTTTTTTTTTTATGAAAATGTCCGACCCCCTTTTGAAAATGTCCGGAACCGCTTGCGCAAAAAGGCCCCCCCCCCCCCAAAAAAAAAAAACGTTTTTTCTAAACGTTCTACAATCCAAAAATAATTTCCGGGCGGTCCGACGGACGCGGCCGGCTGATTCACGCACCGCACCGCGCGCGATTGAGCGCACCGCGCGCCGCGCCCTGCGTCCGCGAACAGCGCTCGAAGGGGTTGCCTCGAAAATCGCGCCACGGCAACTGCGACTCGCGGCTCCCCCCCCCCAAGAGCAGAACAGAATGCAGCTTGGAATCTCCGAGGGCGCTCCGATGCGCAAAAAATGCACCGCGCACATCACGCAAAGAACCTGCGCGACGGAATGCGCTCAACCATTCGTCCCTGGAGCCCGCGCGGAAGAACAAGAAAATCTGGAAATCTTGAAAACTATCCATATCAATACGCCATGCTCCTCTGAAAACCATCGAAACCCAAGAAACCCAGGGCACCCTGGAGGCAAGCAGGGTGTTTCTTGGCATGGGTCTCCACCGTACACGTTCGTGTCGGCACACGGGGGCCCATCCCCGATGAGCCCTGAAAGCGGTGCGATGGCGGTACAAAGGCGGAGGGTGAGGTGATGGTGATTCTCCTTTTATGGGTGGCGGTGCAGGGGGCTGCACGCAGGGGGCTCTGCACGCAGGGCACCTGCCCTTCCCAGGAATTGGAAGGCCCCTCTCCGCGATGGGGATGACTCGTCCGTAAAACCGGCGGGGGTGCGAGGAGCCCGGAGGGGAGAGGCGGATGCCGGGGGCCCCCCACCCCAGCCACTGCTAGCGCCAAGGGGGCCGTCGCCTCATGCCCAGCTTCCCATCCTTGCTACAACACCGCCCCCACTGCACGCCGCTCGCACCCGCACAGGGGCCGAGGACACGCAGGGAGCTGGCTCAAGGGCTTCTACCCAGCCCTCGCGGGCCCCCGCAGCCCTCCCGCTTCTCCTACTCATCCTCCTTATCATCGTCGTCCTCCTCCTCCGAAGCACCCCCAAGCCCGCGATGCACATCACGGGAACCGCGATGTGCATCACAATTGCGAGTGCTTCCTGGTAGGAGCGCCTGTTGTGGACCCCGGCTGGCCAGGTCTATGAAAACTGCAACAGGCTTTGAAAACGAATGCGCGCGGTGCTAAGGCGAGAGCGGGAAGAGGAAGACGACGAGGAGAAGGAGGAGGAGGAGAAGGAGGAGAAGGAGGAGGACGAGGAGGAGGAGGAGAAGGCAATCGTAGAATGACGCCCGATCCCCACCGAACTAGTCTGCACGGAGTCCTCGGGCTTGGTCAGCCTGAGTTCTCGCAACGCTGCCTTCGCGGCATACAGAGAGGACCTCGGGAGGAAGAGGGCACTGCGGAGAGAAGGGCGAGGCCGCCTTCTCGGCCCTGCGGTGCTTGATCCTCATGAACAGGCGCCCGTCCGAGCCTGAGGCGGCTGGCGGGTGGCTCGCAGGTCGGGCTCCTCGCCACGGCCTCGATCAGGTGTTCGTTCACGGGGGCAGCAGTAAACGCGGGGCGGAAATGGGAGAAGGAGGAGGAGGAGGAGGAGGAGGAGGAGGACTCCTCCTACTGCCTCCTCCTCCTCCTCCTCCTCCTCCTCCCTCCTCCTCCTCATCCTCCCTCCTCCTCCTCCTCCTCCTCCTCCTCCTCATCCTCCTCCTGGAGGAGGAGGAGGAGGAGGAGGAGGAGGAGGAGGAGGATGGAGGAGGATGGAGGAGGATGTGACCTGGGCCTCACATTCTTGGCACGCCAGCCTCGGCCCGGCCTCGGGCCCCCGGGAGCAGCACAGGTCGATGCGGCCCGCAGAGTGCCGCCGAGGCGATGGGGCCCAGAGAGCTCTCGCCGCGGTCATAGGGCGACGAGATCTATGCATACCCACTGCTCCCGGCCAGGCCAATCCTGGGCCCAAGAGCTGCGTATACGCCCTCCTGGCTTGGCCCGGGAGGCATACACACACCGCTCCTGGGCCCAGGATGGGCCTGGCCGGGAGCAGTGGATGTGCATAGGTCTCGTCGCCCCACGGTCTCTCACCTCGGGGCTCTTCTGGCCCGGGTCGATCCAGGCCCGGGTCAGCCAGGCCTTGCAGAATCCTGCAAGATCCTGCAAGAGCCTGCACCCGAGCCCGGGTCCACGCGAAGGACCCCGCAAGATCCTGCAGGATCCTGCACCCAATTCCGGGTCAATGCAGCCCTGCTCGTGCAGGGTCCTGCAAGATCGGGCGCTCTGGCTGACCCCCGTTTGCATTGACCCCCGTCTCGAGGCGCCCGACCACCATCCCTCTCGCAACGCCGGAGCTCGAGGGAGCGCGCACCCTTCGTGCACCTTCTGGGGGCCCGCGGCAGTCAGTTCAGGGGGGGCGTGCAGGGCCCCCTGCAGGGGAGCCGCGTCCCCGCCACCCCTCGATCCCCCCGGGGCTTACTTGAGAAGCAGCGGTAGGGGGGCACTGGCATGGGGGGGGGATGCATCGACCTGGCATCGGCGATACATCGCCGATAGATCGGCGATAAGCCTCTGATAGTGAGTCCGCACCTTCCCGGGCAGGTTGGGGCTATCGGGCCCCTATCGGCGATCAATGGGCGATTGGGGGTCGATGCATCACCCCCTATGCCTATCCCCCTCTATCGTTGCCCCTGATTACTGGCCACCCCCGTTGCCGTCCGCCAAACTCGAGCTCGGCCGGAGGTCTTCGAGAGGGCGCTGGCGGCACTGGCGGTCCCGAGATCTGACGATGCCCCGACCCGAGCCGGAGCGAGCCCTGGACCCCATCTTTCTGCGCCATTTCTCGAGCCAGATCGATCTGTGAGGGTCCTGGGGCCCCACAACCCGGCGAGAGCGCTTGGTGTGAGAAGGTGCAACGCCTGGATCGCAAGGCTTTCCCTCTCGCCGAGGGCCAAGTCGGTGAAGACCTGGGGCAGCACTGAGGGGGGGGTGCAACGATATGGGGACGGGCTCGGGGAGGAGACCTCGATCTGGAATCGGCGATGCATCGCCGATCGGTCGGCGATAGGCCGGCCGCACGATAGCGAATCCGCGAGGGCGGCATGCCCCCCCTGGCAGGCCCCCTAAGGGGCTCCCTCTCAGAAAAACGCCCGGATCCGAGGGCAGCGGAGACTGCGACGGCAGTAAGCCACGAAAATATGTACACACAAGCACCCGCCGATGAGTCTTCCCTGTGCCTTCCAGGGGGAGGGCGGCGGCGCGTAAATTCGCTGGCTAACCGTGCTGATTGATGTCTTGTCACTGGGAGCCAGCGAATCCACTGAAGGGTGTCTGTATACGTAGCACCCCGCAACTGCGAATAAGAGTGAGGGGGCGGCGGGGACGTCGGCAGTCTGAGAGGCTATGAAAAGCCCGCCGCAAGCGCCTAAGTTCTACAAATGATACGACGACCTCGCCGCCAGCGCCGATTTGCTCGTTAAAATAATGTGGGTGGGTCGCGGGGTGGGTCGCGGGTGGATCGCGGGTGGGTCGCGGGGTAGGTCTCGAGAGGGTCGCGGGTGGGTCGGGGGCCGGGTCGCGGGTGGGTCTCGGGCCAGGTCACGGGGAGGACGACGACAACACACAACAAGTAACAAACAACAAACAACCAATCAGCCAACGAACAGCGACCAACAAATAACAAACAAACAACAAACAGCCAGCATCAAACAGCCAACAACCGACAGCCAAGAGCCTGTTTTTGTCCTGTCCGCGATAACGGCCGTGATCGGGGGGGGGGGGGGGCCGATCACAGCACGGCGGGTGTTTGCCTCCCGGGGCCTTCTTCGAGGCCCCGGGCGGCGAGCGAGGAAGATGAGAACCGATCTGTAGCCAATTCTGCTCGGTGTAGCTCAGATGGCTCAGGGTAGCCCAGCATAGCTGAAGTTGGCTCGCAGCATGCCTCCATACCGCTTCAAGTGGTCAAGAAGCCTCCCAAGGTGGCCCCCGAGAGGCAAGAATCCTTCAAAAACAAAGAACTATATGCTTGGCCTTGCGATGGGTTTGCGAAGCCTCAAGATTGCTCCAAGCTGGCCCAAGAGGGCCCTGAGAAAGCCCCAAGAGCGGCCCGAGAGGGGCCAAAGGGCGCCCAAGAGCGCCCCATCCTGCTCCCCATCCTCCTGCCCCTCCTGCCCCCCATCCTCCTGACTCCTCCTCCCCCTCCGGGGGCGGCGGCGGCGGCGACGACTGACGATTTTCGCATCTGCCGCGTGGGCGAGCTCTTCCGCCCCCCCTCCGAAGAGCGAGGTCCGAGGCTCGAGGAACGAGGTTTTTGTGACTTTGCTCTCGATTTCTCGGCCTCCCGCAACAGCGACGACGACGAGTTCCTGGGAAACCCTTGAGATTCTCTGGAAACCCTGGAAGATTCCTTGAGACATGTGGGGAAAACAGCGTGACGTGATCGGAGGGGGGAGGGGCGGGGGCGATCACAAGCGTTATCGCACAGAGTATTCTTAACAACACAAAACTCTAACAACAAACAACAAACAACAAACAGCAAACAACAACCACAAACAACAAACAACAAACAACAACAAGGAACTGCGAATAAACAACAACCAAGGAACAATAAACAGCAAACAACAAAATAAACTACAAACAAACAACAAACACCAACAAACAACAAGGAACAATGAATCAACAACAAACGACAACAACAACAAAAAAAAAACACAACAATAACACAACAACAGCAGCAACAACAGCAGCTCCTCCTTCTCCTCCCTCCTCCCTCCTCCCTCCTCCTCCTCCTCCTCCTCCTCCTCCTCCTCCTCCGCCTCCTCCTCCTCCGCCGCCGCCGCCGCCTCGCCTCCGCCTCCGCCTCCTCCTCCCCTCCTCCTCCTCCTCCCTCCTCCTCCTCTCCTCCCTCCTCTCCTCCTCCTCCTCATCCTCTCTCCTCCTCCTCTCCTCATCCTCCTCCCTCCTCCTCCTCCTACCTCCTCCTCCTCCTCCTCCTCCTCCTCCTCCTCCTCCTCCTCCTCCTCCTCCTCCTCCTCCTCCTCCTCCTCCTCCTCCTCCTCCTCCTCCTGCTCCCCTCGCAGGTGCACCTCGGGCCATCGAGAGCCATCTCGACGGCCACCGTGGCACCGCCGTCGAGGGAAAAAGCTCCCCACCCCCAGGGGAACTTGCGCGTGGCCCAGAAAAAAACCGAGGGACAGTACGCCGGAGAGTCTGCGCCGGAGAGCCTTCGCTGCTGCGTCGGGCGTCCTCGCAGGCGTCAAAGTCCGCACAAAAGTTGCGCTGCGTTCCAGGAGGGGCTCGGCAGGATGCTGCAATGTGCTGCGCTGGCCAGGACGTGCACTGTCGCCGTTGCCACTGCCGCGCCCGCATCGACGTCGGCCCCAACGGCGCGGGCGCCACCGAGGCTCGCTCGGAAGCGCTGGCGTGCGACAGTCGCGCTGCGTTTCTGGGAGGAGTGTGGGAGGGAGGGCCCAAGACGAAGAAGAGAGTGTCCAGAGTGGATGGGAAGGAGCGCAGGGGGACTGCACAGATGGCGCTGAGGTTGCGAATCCCCGAGCGCACCACCGATAGGCACCGCAGTCAAAAGCCGCATCGGCTTGGGGGAAACAAAAAAAACTGTGGGGAGTCCTTGTTGCTTTCACGCGACCAGGACGGCCCCAGGAAGGCGCTCTTGGGGGTCTCTTGGGGGTATCGTGAGGGCCCTCTTAAGGCGTCCTTTTGGACAACTCTGAGGCCGTCTCGAGGCCGTCATGGGCGTCTTGGAAGAGCTGTTGGACCGTCTCGGAGACCATTTGGACGATCGTGGAGGCCTCTTGGGACCATCCCTTCCCGTCTTGGAGGCCCCAAAGAGGGGGTATCAGAAATTATCCCCCGATGGTTACGAAGTGCTGGGCCCCAGTTGTGGGGGGGGCGTATTCGTACATCATGAACAAATCAATGAATCGCCCTGTGGCAGGTTTGCCTTCGAGGACGTGTAGGGTACAGCAAGAACGCCCGAGGCACTCGCAGATGATATCTGGAGCGCGCGATTGAATTAGAGAGAGAAAAACAGCATAAACCCAAAATTTTGACGGTCCGCGCGGATTTCTTGGATCTGCGCTGGACCCCACTCCATGGCAAGGGGAGTGCGCCGGGGGCGGCGCCAGAGGCGCAGGCAGGAGGGTCCAGCGCAGGTCCAAGAAATCCGCGCGGACCGCCGAAAGAGTATGTTTATGCCGATTGTTCCTCTTCGAGTGATGCCACATGCGCGAACCAAGCGACCTGGAGAGACAGCTCCTATGGGGGCGCCGCTTCGCGGGCCTCTGCTTCGCGATCCCCTGGCGCTGCAGTGCATGCGCGCGCGGTCGTGAAGCAACTGCCCTATACAGTGGAGGCCAGTCCACAAGAAACCTTCCACAAGAAACCCGACCCTGAGACCCCAGGACGCTCGTGGATTTTTGGCACGGGGACGTCGCGCTCTCCATGGCAAAACCATCGAAACACACACGA